CTTTACTATCTTTTTTAAACAAGTTGATATTTTAGAAGATTGTAAAAATTAATTACAATTTTAATAAGACATGTAATTAAAACTATAGCGTAAAGAATGTATTGCTTCAATCAAATTGCATTTTGGAGGCCTTTGGAAACGCAAAGACCAATAGAAATGATAACTCGAGTCGTTTCGGTAAATATATGGACATTAACTTTGACTTTAAAGGCGACCCATTGGGTGGACACGTCTCTAATTATTTACTTGAAAAGGTCAGACATTGTATTCAAAATAGCATTACAAACAAACAAAATCTTAATTTTCAATTAATTTAGTCCCGAGTTATAGGACAACAAACAGGCGAAAGAAATTTCCACTCATTTTACCAGTTATTAAACGGCTCTCCAGAGGGGTTGTTGAATAAGTTGGGACTTAAACGAGATCCGAGTCATTACTATTACCTCAAACAGGGCGGAAGTTTTAAAGTTTGTCACATTTTGGCTCATTTTTAACGATTTATATTCTGTTTAAGAAGAAAACAATAACTAATGAAATAAATTGACTAAATTATAGGTCGATTCGATTAATGATAAAACCGATTATAAAGGAGTGGAGAATGCGATGAGAGTATTGAATTTCAATGAAAGCCAATCCGAGTCACTTTGGAAGACAATCGCATCTATTCTTCATTTAGGAAACGTTGACTTCAAACGCGACGACAATAATGAAGATATCATTAAAATATCGGATTCGAGCAAAAAAGAGATTAATTTAATCGCAAAACTATTATCAGTGAGTGAAACAGATTTGGTGAAGACTTTGTGCCATAGAGTGATAGCCGCCGGCGGAGAAGTCATGTCCAAACAGCACACACAGAATGAGGCCCTCTATGGTAGAGATTCATTCGCAAAAGCCATTTACGATCGACTCTTCAGTCATATCGTTGAACAAATCAATGGTGCCATCGATATGACCAAAGAGGCCAATAGACGAAGCATTTCTTCTGGAAAGAAAGGGGCAGTCATTGGAGTTCTCGATATCTATGGCTTTGAAATCTTTGACAACAATAGCTTTGAACAGTTTTGCATCAATTATTGCAACGAAAAACTTCAGCAATTGTTTATAGAACTGGTCCTCAAACAGGAACAGGAAGAATACCAGAGGGAAGGCATTGAATGGCAACACATCGACTACTTTAATAATGCAATCATTTGGTGATTATAATGAATACTCATTTAATTAAACATTTAATGATATAATTTTGAATTTTATATTCAGTAATTTGGTTGAAGAGAGTCATAAGGGAATGCTTGCGATCGTAGACGAGGCGTGTCTTAATGTCGGCAAAATCACCGACGAATTACTGCTCGAAAATATGGACAAAAAACTTGCAAAACATAAACACTACACAAGTCGTAGAGTGAATCCATCGGACAAGACTCTCACCCATCACAGGGACTTCCGGGTCAAACACTATGCCGGAGACGTTAATTATTCTATCATTGGATTCATTGATAAGAATAAGGATTCACTCTTTCAAGACTTCAAACGACTTCTATTTAACAGCTCTGATAAAGTGGTTAAAGGTTTGTAAATGTGTTTAACATGTGATAAGTTTAACATTCAAATTAAATAACAAAATCTTTATTACTATTCCTAGACTTATTCCCTGAGGGGTCACAACAGTTGACAGCAGTGAACAAAAGGCCGGTCACCGCTGGCTCTATGTTTAAGACATCAATGATAGCATTGGTGAAGAATTTGATGTCAAAAGAGCCGTATTATGTGAGATGTATTAAACCGAATGAACAAAAGTCTCCGGTTATGTTTGACGAGGAAAGGGTTCGACATCAGGTCGCATACCTCGGCCTTCTCGAGAACGTGAGGGTCAGGAGAGCCGGCTTTGCCTATAGGATGGCGTACGAGAGGTTCTTAAGGCGGTATAAGATGTTGTCGGCGCGCACGTGGCCTAACTATAGGAATGGCACCGATAGGGACGGCTGCAAAGTATTGATCGACGAGAACCGGTTCACCAATGATGTCAAATACGGGAAAACTAAAATATTTGTGCGATCGCCGCAAACAATCGCCTCTTTGGAGACCGAAAGAACAAAACTGTTGCAAAATATAGTGATATTCCTGCAAAAGCTATGGAGGGGTGCATTGGCTCGACAACGGTATAAGAAAATGAAGGCACTGATGGTTATAATGGCTTACTATAGACGTTATAAAGTGAACAAATATGTCGTCCAAATCTGTCATCTCTATAAGAATGTGAGGAATTTAAGAGATTACGGAAAGTCGCTGCCGTGGCCGACACCCCCCGCGTACCTCAGAAACAATCCCGGAATCAGTCAAATGAGAGGCATTTACCTTAAATGGAGAGCATATATGGTATTAAAGAAGTTCCCGCGAGAGGAATGGCCACAAATGCAGCTCAAGATAATAGCGGCGGAAGCGTTCAAAGGGAAACGAAGGGATTGGGGTTTTGCCGGCAAATGGGAGGGAAATTATTTGGATAAAGCAGCCGAGAGCTACGATTACGGCAAGTTCTCGTCCGCCTTCACTAAACTAACTCTCGGAGATTCAATCGGTTGTCGGAAAGTATTGTTTTCCGCGTATATCCGAAAGATAAACCGATTCAATAAGAGTGCCGACAGAGCGGTTGTCATCACAAATAATTACATTCATAAGTTTGATATTAAAAAGACGGCTCCAATGTCTAAACCGACGCCTATAGATGCGATCACCGGCATTAGTGTGTCTTCCGGTTTGGATCAACTCGTTGTCATTCATTTAAGAGAAGGCAATGATATTGTCTTCTCATTGATTAATCTGAAAGACAATCAAAACTCAAACATCAATCGAGTGGGAGAACTGGTGGCCGTTATTCTGCATCAATACTACTTGTAAGTCAATTATTGAACACATTTTAATGTCAAATAATATGGTAATCACTTTTCCTACAGAATTCATAAACGAGAATTACAAGTAAGAGTGGGAACACCGGTTCACTGCAAACTTGGGAAAAAGGATAAAATAGTCAACATTGACTCCAATGCCAATCAACCGACAGTAATGTTCAAAAAGATTTCAAACGATTCACTGTCTCTTCTGTGGCCAAATATTATGAATGGAAACAACCATTGATTCAGTCATTCATTCAAATACTATTTTTTAAGAATATTTAACAATTGTTCGGATGTTTTCTATTATACAGACCCATAGATTCTATTTTGAATATAATTTATTTTCAATTTTGTTAATTATGTTTGTTATAAAAAGTATTAAATGATTATAAAAATTAAATTTAATAAGTAATAAGTATATCCTCGAGAAGTTGTTTAAAACTATAGTAACTTTTTTTTTATAAAATACATTTGTTTCTTCAGTTGTGGTAAATGTCAAACACAACATAAAATTTAATAAAACTAAATTATTGTTCAATATCTGAGATTTAAACAAGGATCACAGCGATGCTATACGTTAACCGCAATTCGGGAAATGCATCAAGGATTTCAAAATTTTCAATGCTATGTTAGGATGCTTGTAATATTGCTGTTTTTAGAATTTTAAATATTTTAGCAATATTTAGTTATTTTCAATTGTCAAATTTGTTTAGTCAAATCCCATAGGATTAGCATTGCCCAGACTTAGCGCCTATGTCATAGACTTAAGCTGAGCGGGGGGAGGGGCGGGGAAGACCGAACGATCCTATAAACCACATTCTTCATAAATAAATTGTGATTAAAAATATTATTAATTAATACTATTTCTAAAGCAATAAATGTAATAATTTTATTAATAGTAACACAAAAAATGTCATATAAAGCAATATTTTGAGCAAAGATTGTAAACAAATTTGAATTATATTTTCTCAGTTTAATATATAAAAGGTTTAAATTAAGAAATAATAAAAATCATCATTTAATACAACAATAAAGTAAATAAATTTGTATTAATAATAACTAAAAAGTGACCAGATTTACATGTAATGCAAAACAATAGTCAAGTAGTTTGTATTGTATCTCAAAGTTATGACAAATCCAAAGCATTTAATCAATAAATAGTAAAATTTCATAGAATTTAATGCATTCTTATCTGAATCTCAATTTTAATGAGGACTTATTGTAAGACGAGTGCAATCTATCAAATCAAACAAAACATTAAGTACAATCAGTACACAAAACATGACAATATGTTGATTACCTTCTCGGATGAAAGGGGCGGACACTTCCAGTTGAACAGATAGTACTGCAGATTTCCGTCTCCGATACCAAACTTTAGTTTCTCCAGAAACTCTTTGTTATCCATGAGGTCTAAGGCATTGAATACGTCATAACCGGCCTATCAGTGCATCAAATGCTTTAATTAATACATCATTTCAAAGGCAATACAAAATAATTAACATTTTTAGCCACAGTTAGGACGTCTTGCATGAGGTCATGAAGGCTGACATCACCGGAAGCAACCGTATAGAAAGCATAGGCGGCTTTAATGCTCTTATAGGTCGGGTGATGCATAACAGAAGAGGGCAATGTGTAGAAACTGGCGAACCCTATGATCTCTGTCGCGCCTTTCTTTCCCTCTTTCCCGGGTCTCTAAAGTAATGCAACGAATAATGGTTTTGTAAAATTGTAAAAAACAAAACAAAATGGTGTTAAACCTCAACCACATAACTGTCCACCACATCCTCTTTAGGAGTAAACCAGTGAACCATTTCTTCGAAGTCAAACACAGGCGAGAGATCGAAGCGATTCAGATATGAAGCCAACAATGTCTGCACTTTCTTCACGTCTTTTGATTGCATTTTTCTAAAGCCTAGAGTTTTGATGTCTTCGGGAAGTTTGTAGAGTTTGACAGTTCGCTGAAGAGTCATGTTTCGACTCAAATGAGAGAACTTTATTTCGATTAGTTTTTTAGGATTAATAGATCGGTGCCAATAACGACATGTGCCCACCGGCTTCGGCAGCACTACACCCGCCGTATACACGGCTTGGAATATTCCGGTCAGATTCACGCGTCTCGTGATCTCTCGTATCAAAACCGGTGCCATTCGTTTGGACCGCAACTTCTTATGGACACAAAGAAAGTTGATTTCAACCATTTTAATGATTCTGTGTTCGTGTTTCAGTTCAAACATTACAATTAATGACAAAAATCAAATTCAATTCAGTTATTCAATGCATTACTTATCGTAGACTTTGATCTTCGCGGGAATAGCGCTTATAAAACCAACTAATTTATTGCTTTTCTGGACTCTGACCCCGACGTGCCATTCCTTCATCCAATTCGGCGGCTTAAGAGCCCAGTGAAGGAAAGCCGGCGAATAATCAAATCGAAACATATTGTCGTCGTCTTCAACATAGTTCTCGTTCAACAAAAGGTACAACTCTTTCAGCTGTCAAACAAACCCATCGATTAGTGGTCATCAAAAAGTCGGTCAGACTTACAATATTGTCATCATTGATGTCAAGTGTGTCCCATAGGAAACCCTGCGGAAGATTCAAAGAGTCCGGTTTGATCTGTTCGCTCGACTTATTGGCCTCAATCTCTTGGTTCACTTCGGGCACCTCATCGAGTTTGGGCACCGGCTGTGTGTCCCAAAACTCGTACCGCTTTTTGAGGGCGTCTTCCGGTGTCTTAGCGGCGGTCGAGCCCTGATAGAGGTTCAACATCTCCACCGCTTTCTTGATGTCCTGCAACTTGTTATAAGTCCACGCATTCATCTCATTGGGGTCGCCATCAGTGGCCGGTCCGACCGCGCCGTCCGTTTCGCTCAAATGATTGCCGGACTGACCGCACGGCGAGTCCGGTCCGCAACACGGCGTCGGCCCTCCGCCCGCGCCCTCACTCTTGTTCGCCAACTCTTTGCTCTTCTTATTCTTGCGGTTCTTATTCTTGGGTTTCTTTGTATTATTTGGTAATGAATTTGAGCTGAAAATCAATGGTAAATATGAATGCATTACAAATTGTCCGCAAAATCAGTCAATCATTGCGATTGAAAGGTGTGTTTGTGTGCGAAGACAATACCCGCTATCATTGGTCGCTTTCATCACTTGATCCACTTTCTCGCTGTTTTCACTCATTGTCTAATTGTCTGTCAATTAAATTGCAATCAATTTATAAAAATAAAGTTTAGTTTAAATATAAAAAGCATTGAATTTATGATCAAATGATTTGTTTGTCATTGAATTTGAAGGCAAAGACACCTCTCGTTAACCAAACAGTCGTCTGATTCATGACTTTTCCTCAACAATCAATTACGGCTTACAATCCATTCAGACATTGCATTACGCGGTGAGCATCGGGTGAGGCATACAAATAGAGCTCATAAATAGGGTCTTAACGTTACAAACATATTATACATACAAAATGGGGGCATATTTTGGTTGAGTAGGCGTAACGTTATTTGTGAACATAAATATATTTAGTAAAAACAATGTGTTTTGTATTCAATAATAACAATAAATAATTTGTAAATTTTGACCATTAGTTTGTTTGACGAGACAATTGTCGCCCAAATTGTTGATCCAATAGTTGCGACCAAACGAGTGGTTCAGCGATGACTGAATTGGCGCTAAACAAGTCAAAGATGAGTGAATACGGACCGGACTCTGGAGGTCGGGTGAAGGGGACGGTTGTGGTGAAGCCAATAGTGTTGGGAAATGTGGCCAAATATTTCGGGAAGAAGAGGGAAGAGGACGGACACACACATCACTGGACAGTGTATGTGAAGCCCTACAAGAATGAGGACATGTCTTCGTACGTGAAGAAAGTGCACTTCAAACTGCATGAGAGCTATCAGAACCCGAACCGAGTGGTGACTAAACCGCCGTATGAGGTGTCGGAGACGGGTTGGGGTGAGTTCGAGATCGTGATCAAGATCTACTTCATCGACCCCAACGAACGCCCCGTCACTATCTATCACATACTGAAGCTCTTCCAGACCGACAACAATGTGATCAACATTAAGAAGCATTTGGTGTCCGAGTTCTACGACGAGATCATATTCCAAGACCCGTCGGTTATGATGGCTCAACTCCTGTCCTCTAATCGTCAGTTGACTTTAGGACAGTTCAGACACGAGACTGACTTCGAGGACAAGAAGGAGAAGACGATGAGTACTATATTGAACGCCAAGAATAAGGTTCGCCTCGAAATATCGGATCTGAAAGACCGGTTGAAAGTGGCCAAAGAGGCCATCAATAAGTATAAGTCGGAAATTGCGAAATCAAATGAATGATTCATTTCATTATTTTCTCATCTAATTATATATCATTTCATTCGCTTTTTAATTACCAACTATTTGTTTGTAAATATATTTTGAATTAACATTTGTTTAATAATTCATTAATTGAATAAAATATTATAAATAAAAAATATTTTTTTCGTAAAATAGTGAACAAATTATTTGAATCTTCAAATTGTAATTAAGATAAAAGCATTTATAAATGATTAACATTAGTGTAATTGACGGGCGATTAACTGCAGGAGGAATAATACAATTATTGTACGACAATTTGTTGGTTCCCATAATCACTTCAATTATCAAATCACATCTTGAATATAAATGTTGACTTTTTAAGTCTAAACCCTAATTGTATGTGTTATCAAATTAATATAAAATACTGTATAAATTGAGAACAACGGGTATACCGTATATTCTTATGTATAAATGTATTGAATGATAAAACTTGGTCTTTATTTTCACTTCACACCAAAAGATGGTATAATTGTGTGAATGTTATCATTCAATAATATTGAATCAATATTCTGCTCCATATATTGCTATTAAATTTATATACGGTATTAATTTAAAATATCATTTTATTAATTTGTTATATATAATTGTAAATTAAAATTAAAAAGCTAAATAAATACAGAAAATATTTTAAAATTTTAATATATTTATTATGGTTTTAAATACAATTTAATAAATATGACATAAAATATCGATTTATACAAAATATAAAACTTTTATAAAATATAATTATTAATCACACAATTGTTTTAATTAAATATTTGCTTTTCTGAGCTCCAAATATCCATTAATGATATCATTTGAAAATGTCTTAATTAAAGCAAATTCATCCAAATTATGGT